GCTCTAACACATAAACTGTGGCTTTACTTACACAGGAACGCTCTAACACATAAACTGTGGCTTTACTTACACAGGAACCCTATAACACATAAACTGTGGCTTTACTTACACAGGAACGCTCTAACACATAAACTGTGGCTTTACTTACACAGGAACCCTATAACACATAAACTGTGGCTTTACTAACACAGGAACGCTCTAACTAACATACTATGGCTTTACTAACACAGGAACTCTCTGACACAGTGTGTAGACATGCATTCACATAAGGATGAGCCTGTGTTCAATAGTCTTCACTTTCATATGACATTAAGAAGTGGAGAATTTCGAGAGTTAAATGTCCCACCTGCACCCCTCAGCCCGCCCCCAACACAACCAAACCTCCACATCCCATGTCTCACTGCGCATGTTGGTAAAGCCTGTACACCAGAAGGACGTGTTTATAGCATTTTAATGCAACTTTATCATCAACCCGAGTGGAGTTTTATTGTCGTAGAATGATGTCATTTACAAGGAAGAGTGATATTAACGCCTCGCCTAAAGACACCGAGCCTGGGAATTTAGTTATTAGCATTAATTCTGTCACTTGGACAAATATTAATGTGATTTTTATTCCTGTGAAGAGCCGCTCCCCAGTGTGGGACAGATGTCGCTGGGGAAGGCGTGGTCTTCCCACTGGGCCTTTCCCACTATCAGCCGGATGGAAGCGGGAAATGAAAGGGATGCTGATTACAGGTGAAAGGGGACAGGTACATACACGTAAGATATACCTGGTGTCACGTAGCGGGTAAAAACTGCCCCCACTATCTTCACTGATTCCCTCTGAACTGATATTCAAACATCACTATGGCGACACTGTTTCACATTTTTCCAAAGGTTGTGGTTCGACATAAAAACAGAAACGTATTATGATCATTTAGACTGACTGACTGAGTTTGGTTTTACGCCGCTTTTAGCAATATTCCAGCAACATCACGGCGGGGGACACCAGAAACGGGCTTCACACATTGTGCCCATGTGGGGATTCGAACCCGGGTCTTCGGCGTGACGAGCCAACGCTTTAACCATTAGGCTACCCCACCGCCCCTATGATCATTTAGAATTTCAGACCTATTCGTTATGTGTTTATCAACATATATATGTATTCGAGGACGCGTGAGTGTGTATGGTCGTGTTGTTATGTAACATGCCTGTGTTATATACCGCCACTGAGGCTGTACATTGTCAACAATCGTAACCTGTTAATAGTGGGCGTGTGTTCTATTGTGTATTTGTAGAAAAGTGTCATGTAACTGTGTCTGTGGCAAGTATCATGTGTGTGTGTGTGTGTGTGTGTGTGTGTGTGTGAGAGAGAGAGAGAGAGAGAGAGAGAGAGAGAGAGAGAGAGAAAACTGTGTATCTTCAGGAATGTGCATTTGACAAGGTGTGTGTACAAATTATGTGACCTTGAACGTGTCAGTGTGAAACTGCCTGTCTCTCCACGTGTCTGTGTGATACTACCCCAGTCTCTCCACGTGTCTGTGTGAAACTACCCGTGTCTCTCCACGTGTCTGTTTGAAACTACCCAAGTGTCTCTCCACGTGTCTGTGTGAAACTACCACTGTGTCTCTCCACGTGTCTGTGTGAAACTAGCCCTGTGTCCCTCCATGTGTCTGTGTGAAACTACCCGTCTCTCCACTAGTCTCTGTGAAACTACCCGAGAGTCTCTCTACGTGTCTGTGTGAAACTACCCCAGTGTCTCTCCACTTGTCTGTGTGAAACTTCCCTGTGTCTCTCCACGTGTCTGTGTGAAA